CCTGATGACCATGCAATGAATTGAATAAACGGCCGGCTGGCCGGGAAGAGGCCAGGGGAGTAGAGCGGGCTCAAAGAGGAGCCCAGCTGCCTTGTCCATGCGGCCCTCGGCCCACTGGGCAGATGCCCAGTGCGCCCGATGGCCAGTTTGGGCCTAGTAAGAAAGATTGGGATAGGGAATTCCATAGGATGGGAGAGGCTTGGGAGAAGGTCTGGATGTTAACATGGGAGGAGGAGGCAAGGGAGCTAGAGAACAGGGGGTCTTGGGAGGAACAAAGAGAATGATTTGGTTGGTATTTTGAGACAAGGTTAGTGATGTAGCTCGGGGCAGAGTTGTGGATGGCTTTGTAAATTGCTGTTAGTATTTTAAATTGAATTAGTTGGGTGAGTTGGAGCCAATGGAGGGAATGGCAAAAAGGGGTAGCAGACACTGAACGATTGGTAAGGTGGATAAGTCTAGCATTCATGATGGACTGAAGGGGGGAAAGCCTATGTAAAAATAAGCCAATAAGGAGGGAGTTGCAGTAGTCGAGATGAGAGATAACCAGGGAGTGGACTGGTTATAGCTACTCCCAACTACTGCAACTCCATCCTCATTGGCTTACCTTACCTAGGCTGTTTTGAGGAACGTATGGATTTATGTATGGAGCAGTGTTCTATGCAATGAGGCGCCAGCTTTCCCTGGTCTGTCTTGAAGCAAATTCTGAGAAGTTGCTATGAGTTACTGCACGTTGCTCCATCTGCTGAATAATCTCAACAGTGTAAGACATAGTTATGTACTGTATCCCATAGAAGACCATCAGATCTTTTTGGCAGTAAACTGTAATTACACTTATAAAGTCCAATATACGATAATAGATTGAATCCAGTCAGTCTTATGATGCTAACCTAAGTATACAAAAGGCACCTGAGTCTAATCTTGTGAAGCTAGCCTGTTCTTACAAGTAAACCTGTTTATTCTTATTATGGAGCTAAGATCGTGCATTTAGATGATCAAGTATCATACTGAAGTGCCTTCGTGGTCAGTGCAGTCCATAGCAGTGTTCTTTTTATACCTGTCCTCAAGTCAAGTGTACACCCTGTTCCAAATTATTATGCAAATTCTATTTAAGTGTCACAAAGATTAAATATTTTGTTTTTCAGTTTAACTTTAACGCATGGATGGCATTGTGTGTCCGGGCTCTTTTGATCACTGAAAACAATCTCGGACACCTGTGATAATTAGATTGGCAGGTGAGCCCAATTTAAGGAAAAACTACTAAAGGATGGTGTTCCACATTATTAAGCAGAGCACCATTTTCAAGCAATATGGGGAAGAAAAAGGATCTCTCTGCTTCCAAAAAGAGTGAAATAGTTCAATGCTTTGGACGAGGTATGAAAACATTAGATATGTCACGAAAACCTAACCGTGATCATTGCACTATTAAGAGATTTGTGGCTGATTCAGAACACAGATGGGTTCGTGCAGATAAAGGCACATTGAGGAAGATTTCTGCCAGATCCATGCATCAGATCAAGAGAACAGCTGCTAAAATACTATTACATAGCAGCAAACAGATATTTGAAGCTGCTTGTGCCTCTGGAGTCCCACGGACATCAAGGTGTAAAGTCCTCCAGAGTCTTGCAACTGTGCATAAACCTTCTATTCGGCCACCACTAACCAATGCTCACAAGCAGAAACGGCTGCATTGGGCAGCAGAAAAATACATGAAGACTAATTTTAACAGTCCTGTTCACTTGTGAGTGCCGTGCAACCCTGGATGGTCAAGATGGATGGAGTAGTGGATGGTTGGTGGACGGCCACCCTGTTCCAACAAGGCTGCGACGTCAGCAAGGCGGTGGTGGAGTCATGTTTTGGGCCGGAATCATGGGAACATAGCTAGTCGGCCCCTTTAGGGTCCCCGAAGGTGTAAAGATGACCTCTGCAAAGTATGTGGAGTTTATGACTGACCACTTTCTTCCCTGGTACAGAAGGAAGAACTATGCTTTCCGTAATAAAATCATCTTTATCCATGACAATGCACCATCCCATGCTGCAAAGAATACCTCTGCATCAATGGCTGCTATGGGTATAAAAGGAGAGAAAGTCATGGTGTGGCCCCCATCCTCCCCTGACCTCAATCCTATTGACAACCTTTGGAGCATCCTCAAGCAAAAGATCTATGAGGGTGGGAGTGGCAGTTTACATCCAAACAGCAGCTCTGGGAGGCTATTCTGACATCTTGCAAACAAATTCAAGCAGAAACTCTCCAAAAACCTCACAAGTTCAATGGATGCAAGACTTGTGAAGCTGCTATCAAATAAGGGGTCCTATGTTACAATGTAACGTGACCTGTTAAAATGTTTAAAAAGTTAAAATGTTGTTAAAACATTGATTGAAATAGCTTTTGATTTCAGTAAATATGCTGCAAACACAACAAATGACAATTTTCAGTTCTTCACAACCTATAAAGTGTTTTGAAACTTACTGTGCGTAATAATTTGGAACAGTGCATTGGAAGTTATTTATGTTGACTGTTATTTACATCAATTATTTAGGTAAATGAGAAAAAAATCATTTGCATAATAATTTGGAACAGGGTGTAAAGTGCATGTTTTGTAGGTCATCTCCCATCTACAGATCAAGCAATTACTGCCTTGGTAATGCTGTTTAGTTTCCTAAATAGAAAAAATAAACTACTGGAGACTCTTTAGGAGACATTTGTGAAACATGGGTCTATGGAATTAATGAAAAAACCTTTGGTTTTAGTAGAATAGACTTGCATAATGTGGGCTAAAAATAAATAAATAAGTATTCATATCCCCTTGAAATTTTCCACATTTTGTCATGTTTCAATAAAACATAAATGTATTTTATTAGGATTCTATGTGATAGACCAACACAAAGTGGTACATCATTGTGAAGTGGAAGGAAAATGATAAATGGTTTTCAAAAATGTTTACAAATGAATATCTGAAAAGTGTGGCATACATTTGTATTCATCCCTTTACTCTGATACCCCTAACTAAAATCTAGTAGAACCAATTGCCTTCAGAAGTCACCTAATTAGTACATAGAGTCCACCTGTGTGTAATTTAATCTCAGTATAAATGGTAGGTTTGCAGTTGTGCCATACTCTTTCCAAGACATGGCTGTCCTTCTGAACGGACAGGCTGGACAAGGACAGCATTAATCAGAGAAGCAGCCAAGAGGCCCATGGTAACTCTGGAGAAGCTGCAGAGATCCACAGCTCAGGTGGGAGAATCTGTCCACAGAAGAACTATTAGTCATGCACTCCACAAATCTGGCCTTTACGGAAGAGTGGCAAGAAGAAAGCTATTGTTGAAAGAAAGCCATAAGAAGTCCCATTTGCAGTTGGTAAAAAGCCATGTGGGGGACACAGCAAACATGTGGAAAAAGGTGCTCTGGTTAGATGAGACCAAAATTTAACTTTTTGCCTAAAAGCAAAATGCTATGTGTGGCGGAAAACTACCACTGCACATCATCCTGAACACCATCCCCACCGTGAAACATGGTGGTGGCAGCATCATATTGTGGGAATGCTTTTCTTCAGCAGGGACAGGGAAAGCTGGACAGAGTTGATGGAAAATGGATGGAGCCAAACACAGGGAAATCTTAGAAGAAAACATGTTAGAGTCTGCAAAAGACTTGAGACTGGGGCAGACCTTCACCTTCCACCAGGACAACGACCCTAAACATAAAGCCAGAGCTACAATGGAATGGTTTAGATCAAAGCATATTCATGAGTTAGAATGGCCCAGTCAAAGTCCAGACCTAAATCCAATTGAGAATCTATGGCAAGACTTGAAAAAATTGCTGTTCCAGACGCTCTCCATCCAATCTGACAGAGCTTGAGCTATTTTGCAAAGAAAAAGGGACAAAAAGCTAACTCACTACATGTGCAAAGCTGGTAGAGACATCCCCAAAAAGACTTGCAGCTGTAATTGCAGCGAAAGGTGGTTCTACAAAGTATTCACTCGGGGGGCTGAATACAAATGCACTTTTCAGATATTTGTAAAATATTTTGAAAACCATCAAAATGTTTCCTTCCACTTCACAATTATGTGTTGGTCTATCACATAAAATCCCAATAAAATACATTTGTGGTTTTGGATGTAACATAACAAAATGTGGAAAATTTCAAGGGGTATGAATACTTTTTCAAGGCACTGTATGCACTATATAGTCAAACATTTGTGGGCATCTGACCATCACATCTACACTGTATGACCAAATTTAAGTAGAAACCCCTACACATTATTAAGGTTTCCAACGAATGATACTGTTAATGGTAAAACATATGTTTGGGTTTGTTTGAATTATATTCGCCCACAAAGAGCCCTCACCTCAACTCTGTTGAACATGTCTGGAATGAATAGGAATACTATGGGTTTGATTTATTAAAGCTGTAGAGTGCAAAATCTGGTGTAGCTCTGCATAGAAACCAGTCAGCTTCCAGTTTTTTTTTTTCTTTCCAAAGCTTAATTGAACAAACTGAAGTTAGAAGCTGATTGGCTACCATGCACAACTGCATCAGATTTTGCCCAGTTTCTCCAATTTTAGTAAATCAACCCCCATGTCTTCTTGTCCAACATCAACACCTAATCTCACATCTCTTTTGGCTGAAGGGGCACAAATGTTCACAGAAACCCTAAAAACCCCAATAAGGGGCCAATACAACATTAATGCTCATGGTTTTGGAGTGGGATGTTCAAGAGGCTCACAGTATGAACTTTAGGAGTTTGCAAATGTTTTAAAAAATGTTGACACAGCTAAAAAAAATTTTTTAAAAAAGTTCAAAGCCTCAGAAAACCCTAACTTTGGTGAAAAGCTTATCACGTTTTGAAAGATCTGTGGCACATATTGGCCAATCAGATTGTCTGCTTAATAAATACTTTGTTTATTAAAGCCACATTCCTAATTTTCTACATTAAAATTAATGGATTTTATATATACGCCTTACATCTTTTCCCACAATCACATTTTCACTTGTAGCTTACCCGTTCTTCTTGCGAGGCAGTTGCATCCAGGTTATTTAGGGCATTTTCCACTCTAGCAAGCCTTCCAGATAGAGATAGTAGAAGGTTGACGATTTTCTCCAGATCCCCAATGAACATCCGAAACTTGTCAAACTCATTTGGTTTACAGACCTCTTTGACGATGACCTCAACCTCCTCGCCTAAAGCATTGTTACACTGGATATCCTCCAAGAGGGTTTCCCGAGCATCCCGCAGGACTTGCAGCTTCCTGCTTATACTGTCTATAAGTTCTTGCTGTGGAGGAAGACAGTTCAAGTCAGTTTAATAAATAAAGCTGTTATAGGATATGGACTTGATTATAGGTTAAACAAATCATGAAAATGTACAGACTTTCTATTTTACAATATGGCAATAAATGCATTAGTAATTACAATACCTCACTGAGGCAGAAAAAATGAAAATTACAATTTCCTTATGAAAAATTGAGTACCGTGATACTTTTTTTTATTGCACTAACATACAATTTTGAGGACAGCTTTCGGGGTATGTCCCCTTCTTCAAGGTCTAATTACTAAAAATCACTGTTTAAGCAGAATGTTAGAATGGATTGAAAAAAAAAAAAAAAAGGGCTACAGATAAGATACATCAAAAGTGAGGGGGGAGGGGGGATAAAACAACACTCCACACAGGTCAAGTTTTAGCTAATAAATAGTCATAAAGCTGTCGGATAGTGGTTGAGGAATCCCATGTCCAAATTAAGACCGTTATCTTTAGTGTCAAATAGAATTCCTCTACCTCTACCAATTCCTCTACCAATTCCGCAATAAACCACCTGGCAGTAGAAATACTCAATAATAAAAAAAAAGCAACTCCTAGCAACAAGTAGAAGCACAGTACACAGTAGAAATGCTAACACATTAAATTGCTAATGTCCACTCACATCCTTCTGTAACTGGGTCTGCAAATTCTGGCTAGCTTCCACACAGTACTTGAGTCGGGGAGCAACTGTGCCCTTATTGTGCCTGCTATATAACCCGTCCAACCTACCAAGTGGATGACCGGAGGAGTGAAATCATCACCGCTTCATTTGATGACAGAATGTCATTGCTGGAGAGGACACAACATGTTGCTAGACTAGGTACGTGCTGCTGTACCTGGGATTACAATAACTTCAGAGGGGAGATAACTGCAACAATCATGTTCACTGACACTGCTGCACCTATGATACCATAGTGGCATGTGTATTGTCATTGGTGGCTATGTTGTGTGCCACAGATGCTTGTGCATTGTTATAGCTACCCATGCATTGCTCCATTCTGTCATAGCTCACACAGTGTTTTATTTCCCAGCATAGTGTCAAAGCTGCCCATGTAGATCCAGAACTGCTCATGTATTACCTCAGCTGCCTTAACCCTTCTTATAAAGGCCGGCTAATAAACCAAAACTCCTGAAACACCAATATTTTGATCACATTGTCAATTTGTTATAGTGCAATATGTACCTGGCTCAATTAAACCCCTTTTGTATACATGTACTGTTCTAGCTGTGCTTGGCATGCTGCCACCCGCCTCTCTTCATATCACAGGATTTCAAAAGTTCCCAGGTATGACACGTGATATATTTTAATTGCTTTGGCATGTGTACAGGCAGGTAAGACCGAGCCTGCTGCTAAGGAGCCACTTCATCTGAGTCCTCCCCAGAATCAGTAATGATTGTGACACATTCTAGCCTAATCAGACTGAGCAAATCCATTGTGGTCTCTGCAGGTGTATACAGGGAATTCCACAGGAGGAACAGTGTATGTGCTGGCTCCACTATGGATGATTTCATTAAATAAATAAATTGTATATATATTGTGGGAACTCGCTTCAAAATGGTAGAGCTTTTCTTGTTAAAGCACACAGCAACTCGCTTCTTTAAGGGCCTTTTTGCCCAATTTTATTTTAAATGACAGTTCCATAACACAAGAGTTTTCCCACGCAGGGGTATCTATCATCAATATAAACGAAAAGATTCAGCCTCCTGATCAGATATAACCAATCTTCCTTTGGTCTTTCTCCTTAAGCTTACGTCTGTCTCCTGCAGACTCCTTCAAAAATGGCTCTCGCACACAGCTAGCCACTAGCACACAGATACTCCTGAACAGCCCCTTGCTGCTTTTGGCTTCCACCTCTCCTAGGTGAAGCCCACCTGACTTCAAGGCAGTGACCTCTGCCTGCCGGGGTAGAGTCCTCCTGACTCCTGTCTGCTGAGGTGGAGCTCAGAACCATGGGTTAGGCCTCTACAAAAAGCCCTGCACCAACCTGTACAATCAGTGTCCTGGCCATTCCCAAAACCTGGTCCCAGGATTGGAGATTTCATCCCTCCCAGATCTCTTTGAAATCTCCAGGCTCCAGATCCCAAAACAGACTTAACGAATAAATGAGGAAACCGAAAAGCCAGTTTCCTCTGCAATACATCAACTCTCTGGAGCCCCTCAACCTGCCTGGTTGAGAATCCAGGGTTTTCAGCTTGATTTTGAACGTGGCAGGACACCGCACTGCCACTATATATATATATATATATATATATATATATATATCCACACACACAACACACACACACACATACATATATATCCACACACACACACTGCTAAAAAATAAATAAAGGAACACTTTTTAATCAGAGTATAGCATCAAGTCAATTAAACTCCTGGGAGATTGATCTGGTCAGTTAAGTAGCAGAGGGGGTTGTTAATCAGTTTCAGTAGCTTTGGCGTTAATTAAATTAATAACAGGTGCACAAGATGGTCAACAATGAGATGACCCCAAAACAGAAATGGTTTTACAGGTGCCACTGGCACTTTTTTCCCTACTCATCTTTTCTGACAGTTTTCACTAATTTTGCATTTGGCTAGGGCTAGTGTCACTATTGGTAGCCTGAGGAGACACCTGGACCCTACAGAGGTTGCACAGGCAGTCCAACTCCTCCAGGATGGCTCATCAATACGTGCCATTGCCAGAAGGTTTGCTGTATCTCCCAGCACAGTCTCAAGAGCATGGAGGAGATTCCAGGAGACAGGCAGTTACTCTAGGAGAGCTGGGCAGGGCCGAAAAAGGTCCTTAACCCATCCGCAAGACTGGTATCTGCTCCTTTGTGCAAGGAGGAACAGGATGAGAATTGCCAGAGCCCTACAAAATGACCTCCAGCAGGCCACTGGTGTGATTGTCTCTGACCAAACAATCAGAAACAGGCTTCATGAGGGTGGTCTGGGGGGCCCCACGTCCTCTAGTGGGCCCTGTGCTCATTGCCCGGCACCACAGAGCTCGATTTGCATTTGCCATTGAACACCAGAACTTGCAGGCCCACCACTGACGCCTTGTGCTTTTCACAGATGAGAGCAGGTTCACCCTGAGCACATGTGACAGATCTGAAAGGGTCTGGAGAAGCCGTGGAGAACGTTATGCTGTCTGTAACATGGTTCAGCATGACCGTTTTCGTGGTGGGACAGTGATGGTCTGGGGAGGCATATCCATGGAGGGATGCACAGACCTCTACAGGCTAGGCAATGGCACCCTGACTGCCATTAGGTATTGAGATGAAATCCTTGGACCCATTGTCAGACCCTACGCTGGTGCAATGGGTCCTGGGTTCCTCCTGGTGCATGACCATGCCCAGCCTCATGTGGCGCGAGTATGCAAGCAGTTCCTGGAGGATGAAGGAATTGATACCATTGCATGGCCCCTAAGCTCGCCTGACCTAAATTCAGTAGAACACCTCTGGGATATCATGTTTCGGTCCATCCGACACTGCCAGGTTGCACTTTAGACTGTCCAGGAGTTCAGTGATACCCTGGTCCAGATCTTGGAGGAAATACCCCAGGACACCATCTGTCCTCTCATTAGGAGCATTCCCCGATAATGTCAGGCATTCATCATACAAGCACGTGGAGCCATAAGAACTACTGAGGACCATTTTAAGTTGCTGCAATGAAATTTCAGCAAAATGGATTAGCCTGCTGCATCATCATTTTTTCACTTTGATTTCGTAGTGTCTTTGAATTCAGTATACAGTATATATATATCCAAGAATCAAGTACAGCAATTCACTTACCCCAGGGATATGTTGGGATCTGTTAAGCTTGTGTGAAAATTCCCAAGAAATGTGAAGCATATTTGCAGAATATCAAAATCATTGGCACAATTTAAAGCAGAACTCCAGCAAAGAAACAAAATTAAAGGCAAAGCCAAAACGTTTTTTTTTTTTTAAGTTCTGAAAATGAATATTAGGTCTCCTATGCTGTCACTATATTTCTTAGTGGAAAGGACTGTGCGAGGACCCAAAACATTGACTGTATGTCTGCATGTGAAAATTTCTTTCACAATAAGGAAGTGGTACAATTCATGTTGAGAGATTTCCTGCACATTCTGTTTCAGAGATACAAAAGGGAGTAAAAAGGAAATGCCTCTTTATACAGCTGTCTGTTGAACAGGCTTCCAAACTGGAAGATTCCTCCTCAACTTTTGTTCCTGTGATAACATTAAAATTTGGGATTTCCAATCACCGCAGTGGTCATCATGACACTTACAGCATAGAGGGTGAATCTCTCCAGTGGGGACACAGACAACAACAAAAACATAACAGAAGGTTTAACACTCCCCAGTTCTATCCAAAACAGAAAAAATAGCCAAAATAAAATATAAAATCTGTAATAATTTGCAGCTACTTGCAGTTCTACATTTGCACCACTAGATGCCTTCAGTCCTCTGAGATGAATTACAACCAGCATCATTCAACCCACTTCCTCTGATCCCAGCTTCATGCTGCTTGGGTTTAGAGTACTATTGAACTGCATAGAGCCTACATGTCACTGCATAAGTGCTATTCAGTCCAGCAGTAAGGACCACCCCGCTAGTTCAGCTCAGCTTACAGTGGCCGGGCCGTTCAAGTGAGCCAGAATGACTGGATAATGTATATGGAGGAATATTATCACACACTGGTCAATGAAAATGACTAAAACCCAGCACACAGGAGACTATGCCAACACCAGCAAAGGAGCATTAAGATGGTGTGTATCCTCCCTTTAGTTCTCCTTAAAATCTAAGCTGCATAAGTACTAATATATTGAGAATAGACAAGCAAGCAAAGCAGACTGTATGTCCTACTTTATTGCTGATGGCAAATTATGCTTTTCCACTATTTGCTAGATAGAAAGATGCCCATACACTGTCTGACTGTACAATCTTCTTTAGATCTACCATAATAATTATACAATTATGTTTTTTTTTTCATTCAATCCAGCGAGCTGAACG